GTTAATTATTCGTTGTTTATTTTTTTTTTTTTTTAACAGAAACGTTCGATCTTTGCTATTTCCTTTTTGTTTTTTTTTATTTATTTATTCATTTTGTATTTCATTGCATCGATCTTCGAAATATATTTGACGACAATAATTAACTATTTTGTATTTTATTAAATAATATTGTAAATATTTAAAAAAAAAAAAAAAGAAAAATGAATTATATATTCGAATTTTTCATATCAGGATGTGATATTGAAAAAAAAAAAAAAAATAAAAAATTTCTTTGCAATTTACTTTTAACTCGAATAAATATAATAAATAATACGATAACGTTATCAAATTTTTTCGAACAAAATAAAAAAGAAAAATTGAAAAGAAAAAAAAAACAGGTTTGAGTAAAATTCAACGTTGGTTAAAAAAAAGAAAAAAAAAGGAAAGAAAAAAAAATTCGTAAAGTCTCGGTATTTGTTTTTTTTTTTCTTTTCTTACAATGACGACAACGACATCACAACGAAGAGAACAGGTGTGCTGACCGGTGCACGAATTGCATAAAAATGTAAATTTACAGATTTTTTTTCCCCCTTAGGATATATACCGGTAACCCCTACGAATAGAATCGGTAAAAAAAAAAAAAAAGAGAGAGAGAGAGATGTGAGGTCACATGTGACCTCACGAAACAGAAGAAGAAAAAGAGATAAATGGTCATCTGTTTGAAACGTTTTAACCACCATAAAGAAATAAAGAAATTATTTTAAATCGTCGTACGTCGTATTCGGTAGAATACAATTTTTTTTTCTAGCAAAGATCAAACGTCTCAATGTAAGTTATCTTATTAATATTATTATTATTATTATTATTGTTTCATTCTTTTTCGATATTAAAATCGTGAATATATATTTATTTATTTATTCGATATTAATACGAACCTTTCAATCCGGTTCGCGCCATTGACCGTTCGTGCATCGATCACTACTATATAAAGCATGCAATATAAATTTAATGAAAAATAAATATATATATTAGAAAAAAAGATAAAAAAAAAAAAAGATAAAAAGAAAAATCGTTGCCTCTTCGGATTTTATAATTTATTTAATTCAATTAGTATAATTAATTCAATTCATTTTATCTTTTATCCATATTAAAATATTTCCTATTTCAATAATTACATCAAATAATTATTAAGATTTATAATTAATCATTTATTATTAGGTCGAGTCATGAGTAACTTCTAATGCGGTTATGTAAAATCTATTTTTCGTATTTACCTATTATAAGTCACCGAAACAAACGGATTTTCAATATCACTGTATAGATGAGGGATTCAGTTTAGTCTTCTGTCAACTTTTTGATGCAGTCAATGTTACATTTAACCATTTTTCTTAACCACTGAAATGGATAGTAAAAAAAAAGTGCATATTCGACATGTAATGCTTTAAGAATTGAAACAAGGCAATAGCACTAAAGTGGCAACTGAAAAAATGTGCAGCGTATACAGTGCAGGACTGATAACTGATAGGGCAGTCAGAAATTGGTTTGTAAAATTCCGTACTGGAGATACGATCTTAAAAGATGAACCAAGTACAGGACGTATTTCCGACTTTGATGAACCTTTTAAAGGTAATATTGGAACAAAATTCAATAGATACGTTGAACAATTGCAAAGAGTGCAAAAAAAAAACAAACTCGATGAAAGGTGTCTTGCACTTATCAGTTGCAGAAACGTCATTCTTTGTCTCATAAAAAACGAAAGTTATTTATGACTCGACCTAATATATCCCTTTTTTTTTTTATTTGTTCTATTGATTTTTGTTTATTTTTTAAAAGTATAATTTTATTTTAATAAGACCACCACCATTGGAGTTTTTAAATTTATGGGTTAAAATGGTAGTAGAACCTATGATGATGATGATGATGATTATATGATTTACTCTGTAACTTTAAGTTTGACTTTCATTGAAATTAGTTGTTTGAGTTCTTGTTGTTTCACTTTAGGATTGCTCAAAGTACCCAAAAAGAGAATAATAATCGTCCAACTTAAATTCAATACCAGTTTAACAACTTTTGATTTACAATCAAACTTTTGGAATTTATAAACATTTGGGTGAGAATATTTCGAGGTTTTACATTTGAAACTTGACAAATCCTACTAAATATGATTAAATAATATATTATACATATTTTGTTGTGCATCATAAACAAATTGCACAAGAATAATAAATTATTTATTTTCATATTATATTTATTTGATTAGAGGAAAGATAGCAAAAAAGAAAAAAAAGAATAAGAAAAAAAAGGACGAATAGTTCAGATTTTTTTTCGAAATATATCGTGTGTCGAGAATTTGAAATATTCTTTCATATTTTCGACAATTTATAAAATATCCATGACAATTTTTCCTATAAAATATTCTCCTTCTCGCACAAACTGTATTACAACATCGATTTCTTTCAAAAGCAAACATATATTTTATATGACAATATTTTTTTCCTATTCGACTATAAATTTATATATATATATATATTATTATTATTGTTATTATTATTATTATATTATTATATTTATTTATATATATTTTTATTATATTTATATATATTNTATATATATTTTATATTGTTATATATTATATAATATATTATATTATATTATATTATATTATATTATATTATATATTATATATTATATATTATTTATATATTTTTAAATTTATTATAATTTATATAATATATTATTATATATATATATAAATATAATCTTAAAAATATTGTATTATTTTTTAAGTATAAATTTGACTTTATTTCATCTCACTTCATTTGAAAATATTTCGTACTTGTATTTCCAATCGGATTATATTTCATCTTAACAATCAATATTAAATAACAATAATGTTTAAATATTAAATAGATAAAAATTGATATATCCCAACTAATTGATAAACGTTTTTTATTTAGGATCAGAATACGAATAATATATTAGTTTACGTAAATCCACCCTATGGATGTTTTGATAATCAAAACTAGATTAGAATAATTAATAATGGGTTAATAATTTTCTATTATTACACACTCACACACACACACACACATACATACATACACACATACACACATGGTAGAGATGATATTTGTTTAAATTGATAATTACATAGAATTATATAAAATAATTAATCACAATTATCTTTGACCTTATTTTATAAATCATTGTATTGATGATGATTGAAAATTGATTTCTATGTTTTATTAAAAACTTCCGATCCTAGTTTCCTGGCTTGTGCGTTGTAATATTTTAATGAAGTTCTATGTACTACAGTAATCTGCCAATGTCCATGGGAAATAGTTTCCATGGGTATGCGTATATATATGTATATAAGTGTATGCGTTTGTGTTGAAGATCGTTATAATGATCGATTCAAGTAATTTCACTACTAACAACGTTAGATGATAGATTGAACATTCCAATTGTTAATAATTAATGCTTAATGGTACGAGATCAATCTATTATATTTAAACAATTACAATTTTCTATTTATTATTTATTAAAATTGATTTTTATGATTTGTATTATAATCAATATCACATTTTCTATTATGTTCAATATTATATTATTACTTTTTTTATTTTTATTATATATATATAATTAAATTTGTTATAAATTTTCTATTAATTATTTAATACAAAATATTGAATTGTTTGATTTAACTGTTACTTTATTTTTATTTTTATTTATTTTCTTTTTTATTCTCTCTTATAATTGAATTTTTATTAAAAATATTATTAATAATATATAATTGGGGTAAAAACGAAGAGACAACGAGTACGTCATTTGAATTAGAATATTATTAGAAATAAAGATTAGAAAAATAAAAATAAAAAAATAAAATAATAAAAATTACGAAAGAAATAGAAGAATAAGGGATATTATTTTGTTTAAAATAGAATATAATATTTACTTGGATTATAAATTCTAGTTTTGTTAAATGGGAGTAGAGGAGAAAGGGTGAGAGAAAAAGAAATAAAATAAAATAAAATAAAAAGAAATAAAATAAAATAAAATAAAATAAAATAAAATAAAAAACAATAACAACAACAAAAAAAATAGAAAAAAGATTAGAAAGTAATAGTTCGTTGTAAGTTGTTTCGTACCGAGACAGTTGTTGCCGTGTAAGAATTCGCTCGTTTCCTCCACATCATTGTACCTTCCCATTTTCTTTTAAATTGTGCTATTACCTACGAAAAAGAAAATAATCATAATAGATGAATAAAACGAACGAACAAACAAACAAAAAAAAGTATAAAAGTAAAGAATCTTTTGTTTTCTTTTTATTTAATTTAAATTATGTTTTTATTTTTTTTTATAATTTATTTTTTTTTTTT